TGACCTCATGTGGAATTCCTATATACAATCCATCACTAAAGATGCAGGTAAAATGATTGACTCCCAGTACTGCTCCAGTAAGTACCTGACTTCTCTATGCTTATCTGCTACCATTATAAACACCAGACCAGGCTGAAAATAGAGTACTGTTGCCACACTTGGGCAGGAGCTGTCCAGACCCCACAACACTGTTACAGTGCATTTCTTACTCTATTCAATTGTAATATACAGAAAAATATTCATGAATATGAAAGGATTATAATAAAATAAGCAGACATAATGTTTGTAATTTATTCAATCAGACATGCCTAAAACAGAATTGGCTGCCTAAATACACAAATATATATATATATATATATATATATATATATATATATATATATATATATATATATATATATATACTAGTAAATAATATTTTATAAAATTCTAAAATTAAATGATAATAGTATTGCATCTATGCAATCTTAAGTTATTAAGGAAAGTTAAGTTAATGGCCTTTTAGGCTTCCCCCACGTGAATAGGAATTCACTTTTTAAATAATAAGAATTATATGTCCCGGATGGAGGCATCAGGATTTTAAAGATGCTTAGGTGGTGCACGGCCAAAAAAAAGGCGAGGAACTACTGGATTAAATCTTAAATGAACTCTATCAGTGCATAGTGTTGTACATGTCTGGTGAGGACCTTAATACCAAAACATTTCAAAATCATCAAAGGTACGACAAGGAGGACAGAAGAGTCCCAATCAATTTAATCTTTTCTTACACTATTCTCAAATGAAATTGCTCTATGGACCATTAAAATATTATCATGAAGCCCCAATTTGCTTTTTTTTAATCTTTTCCTACACTATGCTCTGAACATATACAACAGATGTGAACAGATGGTCACTCATCATAGGTGAACTTATGATGAGGAAGCTATACAAAGCTAAAAGATAATAAAGCATTACTTGACAATGAGGCTGAACTTTCTAAATTTCATGAAGGAAATCTGGAATCAGAAGTGCATCCCCCAAAAAGGTGTATCATATGGTAAAGGTACTAATGACTATTGTATTAACTAGGCTGTCACCGTTCTATGTAAATCAACTCCTCATAAGTCAGTTTATCTTTTTGTTGTGGATTCCGAGATGAAATTCGGTCTCCAATGAATGACAAACGCTAGAAATAAAGATAAGAGATTAAATGTATTTACACAAAAATACAATGAGTAATACTGTTAGTAAATCCAGGAACGCGGTTAGTAGCAATAACATATATGAGATTGGAGTTGGCAAATCGCCAATTCACTGACACTTGAAGCAACTTGATTTTGTTCACAAAAAGCCGCTCCAAGATCTGCACAAACTCACCGAAGCACAAGCCAACAGACGAGTTGAAATTTGCCGTCAGTTGCTCAGCAATCCATTGGACAAGCGTTTTTGGAAGCGCATTGTGACATCAGACGAGAAATGGATCTATCTTGTCCAGCACAATCAAGACAAGCGATGGATTCAGAGTAATACTGTTAGTAAATCCAGGAACGCGGTTAGTAGCAATAACATATAGATATATACAGTCTCGAAGTAGGACTTCCTTAGAGTCTACGTGCTTGTAACTGACTTCTACAAGCGGTTACCTCACACTATTACTCTACCTCCAACTCAATCAGAATCTCAGTCTTCTCTATCTCTCGATCTCAGTACTCTCACTGACTCTGGGTATTTAATGGCAGCAGTCCAAGTAACACTTTGGTTGAGTTCACTTATATGAAAAAGGGGAGGACCCCATAACACTTTTGATTTGGCAAGGGGTGTAATGATGGCCTATATGTCATCAAATAACTCCAGAAAATTGATTGCCTCCCCAATAGAAAATTGTATACCTGCTATGTACACCTCACAGCAGTATACAGCCATACAAACAATAGAGACATCCCTTTCTCATCAGTTAGAAACCACTTTCCAAGCTATGTATCCATTGAATGCCTAGATTTGATAGAACTATATGTAGAGCTATATGGGTCATATCTATCAACTTTTTATTTATTACAATGCATATTTTGAATATATAGAACTATATGTATTAGATTGTCCCAAAAGTTTCTTAAACACTTGCGAAAAATTGAATTTTTATGCAATTTTGAATTGTTTTTTTACTTTATCGAGAATTGGCTGATGAGCTTGGAGTTGGCAAATTGACAATTCACCGACACTTGAAGCAACTTGATTTTGTTCACAAAAAGCCGCGCCAAGATCCGCACGAACTCACCAAAACACAAGCCAACAGATGAGATGAAATTTCCCGTCAATTGCTCAGCAATCCATTGGACAAGCATTTTTGGAAGAGCATTGTGACATCGGACGAGAAATGGATCTATCTGGTCCAGCACAATCAAGACAAGCGATGGGTTCAGAAAGGGCAAGAGAAACCGTAGGTTCCAAAACAAGATCGATTCGGCAAGAAAGTCATGTTGTGCGTTTGGTGGAACTTTGAAGGAATTGTGCATTTTGAGTTGGTTTCGAATGGTCGTGCCATCAGTGCCGAACTTTACTGTCAGCAACTGGAGAGGGTCTACAAAAAGTTGAAGCAAAAGGCTCTGATCAACCGAAAGCGCGCTTTGATGCAGCAGGATAATGCCAAGCCACACACCGCCAGGAAGACCAAAGACAAGTTTGAAGAGCTGGACGGCGTTGAGGTTCTGCCATATCCAGCCTACAGTCCTGACTGTGCTCCATCAGATTACGGCCTTTTCCGCTCAATGCAACACTTTCTGAAAGGCCGCCGATTCGACTCGTTTGATGAAGTCGAGGAAGCGTGTCAAGAATTCTTTGATTCGAAGCCGGCTGAATGGTACTTTCACCAGATCCGAAAGCTTGCAGATCAATGACAGAAAGTCTTGGAAAATGATGGTCTTTATTTTGAGGAATAATTTTTGTTGTTTTTGTTATTACTTGGCGAGTAAAATTTCAATTTTTGGCAAGTGTTTACGAACTTTTGGGACAACCTAATATATTGGTCCATAAAATTGTACATATCAGGTTGATGACCCCAATACTGAAACATTCTAGAACTCATCTGGGACCAAGGAGGATATAAGTGCCTCAATTTATTTAATCACTTCCTAGACTATGCCTAGTGCATATACAAGTACAGTTATGAAGTGATGGGCACTAATCACATGAACATTTCTAAATGAATGTACTAATAGAAAACAGCATTCCTGCTCCCCATTTCCAGGCCAGTGTACAGAAGAAGAGGGAAGCTATGCTGATGACATAGATATTCATAGTTTTTTCTTCTTTTTTTTTCAGTCATTTCATCCCAAGCAAGGTAGGAATGCCACTTGTAAGTAGGGGATCACAGGGAGTGAAAGTGAAAGAGAAGACTCAGATTAGGGAGGATTGTGGAAAGGACAGAAGATGAATGGGATTCAAGAAGACAGAAGATAACAATTGATGTTGCATTTAAATTTTTGAAGATTGTAGTTAGCAAGGAAGCAAGAAAACAGAAGGGAGTTCCACAGATGGGAAGTATGAAGAAAGAAACTGTTGGAGTAGAAGTAGTGGTTGCATTTAGCTATTTCAACAGTAAAAGAATGGGACCTAGATGCCAATCTAGTAGCACACTTAAATTCATATAGTTCAGACACCAGGGAAACTTTTGAACTCTATCAATACTGGAAAGTGAGGGTTAGGTATCTCCCACCCAAATATGTCAACATTACTCCATTTTCAGCCTGATCTGGCTTTTATAAAGGTAGAGCATAGAATGAGGAGTCAGGTATTTACTAGAGTGGTACTGGGAGCCAATCATTTTACTTGCATCTTTTGCGATGGATCGTATATACAAGTTCGACCTGAAGTAAGATGTGAGTTTGAGGTTCAATATGCTCTCTCAAGGTATGGTGCCTCCTTAAGGGGACATCCATTCATCAGACTGAATGTAACCAGCCAATATTTTTTTCACTGGGAATTAGTGTTACATCAGAAGAAAGAGATCAGCTACCAATCTCTGATTGCCAAAAGTTTTAGAGATGCATTCATATATTATAGTATTGTGGGTGTAGATGTTTATTAATGAACTGAGTGTATTCTTAGACATCTGAGACAAATTGCCTAAGCCAAAATCTGAGATTCTAAAGTCAATAATATTTTTGCTTACTCCATTCAGATTATGTTTTGGAAACCTTTTGCAATCCTTGATCACTCTTGAGAAATAAATGAAACAGTGACTAAGCTACATTGTATACATTATAAATTCAAATTAACAAAAAAAATAAAAAATTGATCAAATTGAGTTCATGAGACATGCAAATTTATTTCTCAAGTGTGATCAAGGATGACAATCATTTTCACTTGCAGAAATTAGTTTTTCATTTAACTATTGACCAGGGTTATTTGTTTGTTATAAATACAAGCTGAAATTCTCAAACCTTAATTAATTACTTACATTTTTGTATATTTATTTGCATATACTATATTACAAAAAAGGCTAAGCAATGTTGCATTAAGAAACACAAAAAAACATACAGATTGAGTTTGTTTACAAATGTAAGCAGTAGTATTAACACAGCTCACTGCCTATCAGCTGCCAACTGCTGGGAAATTACATGCATATATAAAACTACATAAATACATGATACACTTATTCTCATGTGCAGACACATTCAATTCAGTTGTATTGTAAAGAATGACAAACAAAAATATTTTTGTTTGAAGTTGTTTCGCAAAGAATCTTTGTAATTCATTTCCTTCAATTTGAATGAAAACTAATACTCAATAATAAAAATTTATTTAAATTTGTAGAGCCACCTTGAAGATCACTTATTTCTTCACTTTATCCACACATAAACCACTACAGATGCAGCATGGATTTGATCCTCAGGTTTTACTCTTGAAGACTTTCTTATAATTGGGGATGACTGCAAAGCAACTGAGTTTCAAAATAAGAATTTTCTATCTCTTAGATGTACTGCCCTCCCTGATAATGATCTTCATTTAATCAGTGAAGCTTATGGCACTTTGTATTCTTCAGCCATCTCCCACCTAAGTACCAATGAGACACAATGCTGCTTAACTTCAGTGATCAGACAAGAACAGGTGTTTTCAATGTGATATAGCCATAAACAGGAAAAAGATCAGATAGAAAAGGGAAAGATGAGATAGAGAAATGTACGAGGTCAAATAAACATTCCACTGGGAATTTCTGATTCCTGGAACAAAATAATCAGGCAACAAAGAAAATTATTTGAAAATTTGTACTAAATAATCAATGTGCCAGGTTTAGGAAACTGACAGAAATAATGTAAACATGTTAGTTAGATTTTGTATGCAACAACAGTGTTCTATACTACAGATTTACTCATGGTGCTACTCATGGTTCATTAGCCAAAATTGGAGGCCTATTTCAAAATGCTTGAATTTCAGAAATTTAAGAGAAACGTTAAAAGATTTTTAATAAGTAATCTTTTCATTAATTTTATAGTATAAAAATATGACATTTGCTTCTATTTTATGTTTTTTTAATAGTAAACTAAATTAAACTTCAACATACATTTTTAAAATACTTTTTATAAAGAAAAACACAAATTACTAATAAAAAATTAAATTTTGTCAGCAATGGTCCAGAGCACCTGCTTTATATCTAGAGTTATTTGATAAAATCCAAAGTAGAATCAGCAATATTATTTGTCCTGATCTGGTATCTCAGCTTCAGTCACTTTCCCACCACCATAAATTTGTCTACTTGTGCCTTTTTCTATAAATATTTTTATGGTAATTGTTCAGATGTGCCCTTCACTTAAGGGTAGTACTAGAGGGGCATTGAGATTTCATCAATTTACAGTTGAGTTGCTAAGATGTAACTTCATACAATATGAATCACTATCTGCTCTCCTCCTGATTAATCTTCCTTCATTCCCACTCCTTATTAATGTTTCTGTTTTCTAATTCTTCCACAACCAGTAACCCCTTGTGTCTTAGTGGCTTTAATGCCTTGCTTGGGGTGAACTTTCTGATATATATATATATATATATATATATATATATATATATATATATATGCACGTTTCATTAAATAATATAGACAAGTGTTGTCTATTTATTTTATGTAAATTTTTTCGTAACGTCTGATAAGTTTAATAACATTATCGTTGAAATCGAAGAAACTTATCAGACGTTATGAAAAAAATTACATAAAATAAATAGACAACGCTTGTCTATATTATTTAATGAAACGTGCATGAATGACAAGATGCTGCCTAAATACACACACTATATATATATATATATATATATATATATATATATATATATATATATAGAGAGAGAGAGAGAGATAGATAGATATAGGTATGTGGCTGAGTAGTTAGAATGTTTGCTTTCTTACCATGAGACCCGGGTTCAAATCTCATCATGGTCGATTTGTCGGGAATGAGACTTTCTGTTGTTGTTGGGCTGAAGGGGGGTGATCCTAGCATGCTGCATGTTTGGAAAGTGCCTGAAAATCCATACTACAGGTTTGAACCAAGCTTTGTGAGTGAAATTGGGTAGACACACTTGGGGTCCATCGATAGCTTTGCTAGCACAAAGCCACAAGTCATCATAACCGAGGGTTTGAATGTGCTGGCCTTGTTCAGATTGTTGATCATGCTAGATAACACGCTCTCTCCCAGAAACTGTGACTAAGGTCTGCTCAGCATAGTTGCAGTATAAACCACAAGTTGGTTCTGTGGGTGTTGAAGAAACCCAAATGTGCCTGGGTGAGTGTCTGCAATAGGGATTGGCTAGATGCCCTAATAGATGGGTATCCTCAAATATGAGTGGCCAGCTATTATATATATATATATATATATATATATATATATATTATAAATTAATTGATTTAAAATATGTTTTTTTCCGCTATACAGTTCTAACCATGTTTCAAAAATGGAAACTAAATGCCCCGAATTTAATTTTGTAATTAAATTAAAGACATTAGTTCCCTTTCCTCCTCAAGCAAATTTGCTCTTATGAACAACAATATAGAAAGAATTATTAAATTAACTTTATGTAACAAATTTTAAAATACATCTTGCAGTGGCAAAACAGAATCAAGGAAAAAGTATTTAGAAGAAAAAGTCTGACAAAAATAAAACATAACATGAAATGAAACATTATTATAATTTATTTTTTTCAATGTGTGGAAGGTTGAGGAGGTGAATGTTTGACCTTGTGAGAACATTCAACTGGCCAGGTAGCAAGTGAAAGTCGTTGTCCTCACTATAAAAATTGATAGAGATTATTCATACCTTTCAAAAGTGATAGTGAGGATAACATTTTTTTTTACTGTTTGGCCAGTTAACATTGTTATGTTTTACCCTGGAAATCAAAAGAAAAAAAGCAGATAATGTGTAAATCCAAAATTTTTATGTTCCAGAAATAGTTGCATTGATTTACAAAAATTACTTCACTTATTTTTTTTTTTAATCCAGTTTCTTCTTATGAGGACAGTTTTCAAACAACATGGAATAGACAAGATGCACAAAGATTTCTTAATGACTCTCCTGACTACTTTAACTCAGACTTTTACTCAACCTGCTACTTGGACTGTCACTTGAAATGAATACTTAATATGTTGTCTGTTATTTATACATAGCAAGTGGACATAGTAATGGACACAAGAATAATTACAAATATCTAACAGAAAAATACTTGACTCAATTTGAATGTGTGTTACTTGAATAGTATAAAATTTCTAATAACTTAATAACCATTCATACTTAAAAGCTAAAAGTTTGCAGATTAACAATTTGAATATATATTTTAAATGCCATGGAAATTTTATCTTTCTTCATAAATTATAAGTTAATTAAATTTCAAGTTAGTATCCACTCAGTAGGGATATCACATCTTAATAATTTAAAAAAAAGGTTTTATTTTGTTTGAAATTGATTAATTAATAGAATATGGTCTCATAATGTGTTCACTATAAATTTTGGTCTGCTTAATTTGCTCATTTTACTAAAATCTTAATTGATATAGATTTTTAAAATTTTTCTGCACATTCCCTATAGAAAACAATATGTAGATATTTCTACATAAATTTACTCAGCCATATATGTGCCATTTTGTTCCACTGCCTTTTGCCTCCTTTGAGGCAGCTTCATGATTCCATCCTCCCAGAACATGGCATCTGTCTGGGTGATGAACTGGTCTAAGTGGCTTCTACAGGCTTCTCTTTTTCTCTTACTTTTTTCTTCTTTCCACTTCCAATTGGTAACCTTCCTCTGGAGTTGTAAGGGCCTAGAATGTATTTATTAATATGCCTACATTTAGACATTATCTCAGACCTTCTATTTAATCATTTTTATGATTTGGATAATTAACAATGGTCAACTTCTCTTCTTGGCACAATTTACAACTGTTGTTGCTACTTCTACCAAACTTGATCTTTCTTAATATGCTCCACTTTATGTTTGGGCTTCTATTATTTTTTCCCTCAACTCCCAAATTTAGTGCAATACCTATGGCTCTGTAGTCTAAATGAAGATCTGTGGTTATACCATCATTTTTTTGAAGGTACTTTCACTGCATCCTATATAAACTCTGTTTGGTTCTCTTTTATATTTGACCTCCGGTTTGTAAATCACACCCTCTGTACAACAGGGACCATTCAATGGACAACTAATTTTATGTCTGCAGTTGCAAGATATATTATTTTCACCACTGTTTTGTATATCTGCTCTTAAATTCCTTGCATTTTGCCTCTTTATGGTGGTTTCTAAATTGCCAGTGCAACTATAACTTAATTTCACAGTGTTGCTGTTGAAAATCCTGTGCAGTTCAAAAGATTTTGGGAAGTATTTTTTGCTTAGATTAAAAGAAATTCTTCACTTGTAGATTAAATAGGGGGTGGTAGTTTGAACCAAATTATATTTTTTTTTATTTTTATTACTCCTGTTATTTCTCAGCTGTTGATTTATTTAGGGATTGAAAGTTAGATCCATTTTATGTCCCTCCCTCAGTTTTTTCTCTATTTTGGCATACTCCTCTCCTTCAGTGAACTTTCTGGTAGCTATATCAGGTTGCAGGGCATTGGATAATGTAATTTGTCTCACCACCTGATGATAACTTGTGATTAAAACCCAGGTAGAGAATAAGGTAAACATTTTATTCTGTTTATGGCATTAACCTTCTGTACGCGTTCGATTCTGAACAATGTATTGAGCACATTTTTAAATATCTGTGTTTGGCCTGGAATTGTTCCTGCCTATTACATATTTAGTGTATATATATATATATATATATATATATATATATATTGGGCGTGTGGCCAAGTGGTTAGAACATTCGCATTCTGACCATGAGACCTGGCTTCGAATCTCACTATAGTCAATTTGTCAGGAAGGAGACTTCCTGCTGTTATCAAACTGAAGGGGTTGATCCCAGCATGCAGCATGTTTGGAAAGTGACTGAAAACCATACCATGGGTTGACCCAAGCCTTGTGAGTGAAATTGGGTAGACAAAACCCTTGGGTACTGTTGATAGCTATGCTAGCATGAAGTCACAAGTCATGTGGAAATAAAATCAATAAATCTTGTACTTACTTCAATTAAAAAAACTGAAGTTATTCCAAGTGTAAATGCAAAGATCTTTTTGAATTTCACATGCTGACTACATCAGCAACCTACCACAAACCCAAATGAAAACTAAAATGCACCCCTACCAATGTAATGAAGAACTTTTGAAATAGACTGCCAACTGGCCCTTACTTACACCATGAACAGGCCTGTAGTATAGAACTTCTGTGTGTATGCAAAGTGATGTAATGTTTACCTTAATAGGAAAAAGAACAAATGAATCAAGATTGAATATCTTTTGAAGGATTTTATGTTAATACCCAAATAAAAGATATGGATTCATTTTAATCTGTACACTCTCCCATAACCAGATGTTCTATAAATGACAAGATATTTTTTTGAAAATTTATTGGAAATCAAATTTGATTTCATTCACCTGGCCAATTATTATTTATGCTCCCAATGACCTTGGAAGTCAAATTTGATTTCACTCACCTGACCATTTATGATTTCCACTTCCATTGACCTTGGAAGTCAAATTTGATTTTATTTGCCTGACC